TGTAAAAATACAGTTTTGAACACAAAGGAAAGTAAAATGCAAATGCCAGATTTGCGTGGAGTTTTATGAGACATGCTTCTTCACTAAAATAGGCTTTGCTTCTATTTAAACATTTCAAAACATTAACTGTTTAATAGTTTCCCCAATGGCGTATGGTTTGAATTGATATTGGCAAATAATTATACATAAAATGAAGTTGCACTGAACTAAATGTTAGTAAAAGTGACAACATAAAATACAAGCAATATAAACCATGGCATGGGTGTATGCCATATTACCAGCTGAAAAAATGTCCTGCAATTACAGGCCCCCACTATTTATTTCGCTGGTGTATAATTACACTTTATACATGTTTGTTTAGGAATATCAATCCCAGACATCATTTTGAGAATATAATTAACTGGATAATAAAACAGAATGTGTGTATATGTATGTTTTACTATTTTGTGTTTCTGTATTTCAAAAAAAGTTAGTCTTTGTTAGTTGTGTTTAACTGCCATCTAGAGTTAAAATGAATCCATTTCTCTCCCCCTCTGCTACTCCTCTTCAAAATTTTAGGCCACATAAGCCAACATGTTTAATCCCTATTTCATATCAAACAAATATTCTTCAGACAACAAAACTGCAAAAGGCTAATCTTATCTAATTTTTCAATTTACTGTTAACATGTCCACTTGCTGCACATATTTAAAGTTGACTAAAGATTGAGACTTGCATTTAAACTAATTTAAACACTATTTTTTATCATTTAAACAAGCCAAGGAACAACTTAATACACATTTGGACTTAGGGAAATAACATTAAAAAGTTCGAGTTAATTTCCAATCTATTTCATGGCCTATAATTTGTACTTTTTTTTTCAGTCCAAGAAAAGCAGACCCAAATAAAAAGATATTGTTTCATTTTTATATCTGAAAAATATGATTAAGAAAATTAGCTAAATTCCAAGTGTATATTCAACTAATTAAACCTTGTAATATTCTTATGTTAAAAGCGGCATTCCTATCCCAATGTGGACAGAGTTTATAAAAATAAACCATCAGTACAATTACTCAACCTTTTGATATAAGAAAGTGAAAAGAAATAAAAAAGGGATACTTAAGTCAGATTTGAAAATGACTTGATGCCTAACAAAAGAAATGTATTTCACACAAAGTGTTAAAAAAAATAGGTAAAACATGTTAATGCTCTTCTCACATAAATAAAGGGTATTGGTGTTTTGGTTTTTTTTTTAACGGCCCAAATGCATTAAGCCAAAACAGCCATTTCTGACAGTAGTTTTACACATCATTAGATCCTGAAATAAAGAAGTTGCAATCCACTAAAACTGCAACTCTTGTTCTTTCAAAGGAAATTATATGAACGTTTTCAAGTGGATGCACATATCAAACAATAATGATGAAAAACTGGCTGGTGCAAAGAGCTTTGGATGTTTTCAATAAACACAATGGTAGAGCTTCACAAAAAGATGGTGAACGGCAAACTACAATGCTTACCAAGTACAGTAGTCAAGTATAATGCGCATTTTTAAAAGGCTCTTAATTGCTTGCTCAATAGTGGACTAATGATAAAGTTTTTACAGGATTATAAGAGCAAAGGGAAAAAACACGGTAAAAAAAGAAACAGGCAGGCCGGGCGCGGTGGCTCACGCCTGTAATCCTAGCTCTCTGGGAGGCCGAGGCGGGCGGATTGCTCAAGGTCAGGAGTTCGAAACCAGCCTGAGCAAGAGCGAGACCCCGTCTCTACTATAAATAGAAAGAAATTAATTGGCCAACTGATATATATATATATAAAATTAGCCGGGCATGGTGGCGCATGCCTGTAGTCCCAGCTACTCGGGAGGCTGAGGCAGAAGGATCGCTCGAGCCCAGGAGTTTGAGGTTGCTGTGAGCTAGGCTGACGCCACGGCACTCACTCTAGCCTGGACAACAAAGCGAGACTCTGTCTTAAAAAAAAAAAAACAGGCAGGGAAAAAAATGCCTCCTTGAAGAAAAGGCTGGGTTAAACAATCATAGAGTGACGAGTGAAAGTATTGAGAGACAGTGAAAAATCACGGAGACAGGATTGCAAAAGAAAATGCTTTTATAAATTATACAACAGCTGGAAGGATGTCAGTTTCAGACAAAAGGTTTGTGTGAGCTTTAAATTACTGAAATTTGGGAAGCAAAAAGTACTGATGGTCCCTAACTTAAAACAGCTCCACTTATGATTTCTCGACTTTACAATGCATTTTGGGGGTATTAAACGCATTTTTGGCTTATGATATTTCTTGACCTACAATGGGGTTTGTATTGGGAGGTAACCCCATTGTAAGCTAGGGAGCATCTGTGTGCATATTTGCCGTACATACTGTTGGGTCTCAGAAAAAACACCCCCAAAAGTAAGGCACTTCGGGGTGCTGAGCACTTTGAACTAGAGTAGAAAAGCCTTAGAAGCTGCCTCAGAATCAAGGACTTCCAGACCTCCCCTGTCCTCCCTCCTCCCATCCCCAGCACAAGGTGAAATTTTTCTCTAGTATCCCCTTAGCTGCCTTAAGACCTGCCCACCACGGAACACAGCTGCCTCCCATCCCTTCCCTGAGATTCCACTACCTATCCCAGGAAGACTAAGGGATGTAGCCACACCTGTTCTGCCTTTTGGGCTCATCCAAATTCCAAAGAGAATCGTTTACAAACTAATATTTCTGTCTCCCGGGTCCGTTCACCTTCCCTAAAACCATTTACTATCCTTCTAAAAATTGCCTACAGCACCCCACCCTCCATTTCTCTCTCCCTTATGAGGACGGTATTTAAGCCTCAACCATCAGGCCCCTCTTTGAATCTCATATTTTACACGGCTGCCGTGTTTATGTACATTAAATAAATTTGTATGCCTTTTTCTCCTGCTAATCTATTGTCAGTCATTTCGGCTGAACCTTCAAAGAGGGCGGAAGGGAAGCTTTCCATCTGCTTCTACACCAGGCTGGGCACAGTGGTTCATGACTATAATCCCAGTCTTTTGAGGCAGGAGGATCACTTGAGCCCAGGAGTTTAAGACCAGCCGGAGCAACATAGCAAGACCCATCTCTAAAAAAAAAAAATTTTTTTTTAAATTAGCCAGGTGTGGTAGTACACATCTGTAGTCCCAGCTACTTAGGACGCTAAGGTGGGAGGATTACTTGAGCCCACCTTGAAGTTACAGTGAGCTACGATCATGCCACTGCACTCTACCTCAGGTGACAGAGCAAGACCCTGTCTCAAAAAAAAAAAAAAAAAAAAAAGGGAAAAGAAAAGATTTCCTAAGAATTATCATGTGTGCTTTCAATTTAAAATTTCTAATGCTTTCTCAAGTGAATTTTAGAACCAGTGAGGTTTATAATTTGCTCTTCCAAGGAAGGAAGAGGCATATGCAAATGCTCACTAGAAATCTCGGATCGAACACAGTTTTATAAGCAAGACCTTGTTCTCTGAGCCAAGAATAGCTACAACACAGACACCAGCTGTGATAATGATTTCTCTACTGCAGTGTTTTATCTGATTGGACCTAGCCTGGTAGCTAGTTCACTAACAAAAGCTCCTAAAGAGGTATCTAGTTATAAATTCTCTCTGGTCAAAATCCATCAAGGGCCAATTTAAAGCATTTCAGTTACATTTTGAATTGAGAATATTTTACCATAATAAAATGGACAGTCAAGTATGAAACAAGGTAAAATTCCAATGATTTTACTTCAAAGTGAAGAAACGCAGACATACAGGCAATTGGACCCACTTTAACAAATTTCATCCAGGACTTCCTGAAATAGGAAGAAAAACTAACTCCATTTCAGTCCTAAGTCCTTCATTTTCTTAGTACTTGTCTACCTAAAGTGAACTCAAAGACGGTGGGTAAAAGGATGGTCTCTATATAAACTATAACAGAATTTACTGTTAGTAACTTGGGGTCTTTGAAACAGTCAAGGATTCTGCAATTCTTTCAAGTATCTCCCATCCTTTAAAGCTGGTCCTTCCTTTTTTCATCCCCACGCCTTGTCTGTTCTCATTTCTTTTCTCTACTCACCTGCCTCACCTACTCCAATAATGCCTTCTCCTTACTACTGTCGAACCTTCATTTTCAAATTTTCTGGCACTAGAAATCAAATCCTCAAAACTGGGGAAAAGGAGAAAACATTCTTCTCAAAGGTTCCTTTCTACTGGGCCTCACACCGGATGTACTCTCATGCACACATTACACGCAACTGCTTCCTTCACCTAGAACATTCCATACCACGCTCTCCTGCCACCTGCCACACGATCACAAAAATCAGACTTCCAAATCCCTCCCACTTCTCCAAGTCCACTTTACCTTCCCAAATGCTGTTTATGCTATTCCAGCTTGCAGTGCTGTCTCCTTTCTTGTCTAGCATCCTCATACTCTGTGTGACACTAACCACACATTCTCAAGACAACATACAGAACATTTAGAATACTAACATCAAACGGGCTGGAGTTCATTTACTGTCAGCGTGATCTTAAGGAAATCATTACTCTAAGCTTCAATTTTCTCAGCTACATAAATGCGGATGGTAAGAGTTCAGCACCCTTGCTCATAGGGTTTTCATGAGGATTAGATAAGGTAATTCATACAAAGTACCTGGTGCAGAACAGCACTCAATAAAAGCTATTTTTATATTGTCAGCATCCTCCTCTAGCTTTTTGTGTGTATCTGAAAAGCCCAGCCAGATCTAGGTTCTTAAGGCCAGACTACACCTTACAGCTGTTTTAATACATCTTTATAGAATTTATGACTAAATGACACAATGATTTCTACATAATGAAACTAAGGGGACAATTACAGAAGATGATATGAGGCTAAGGGGATAATTATAACACGTTGGTACAGAGAACTAGTCCAAGGGTTAGGAAGCATTAACTTCACTGCACATTCACAGAATGTCCCATTATGGGTTGGGTGTCACTTAGTAGGCTGTCGTAATTTGCAAGGCAAGCCATGAATACCTCACTCCACAAAGTACCCAAACGTACCTGGTAAATACAGAAGCAGCTGCCAGAGAGTGTCCCTAACCAGCCGAGTCCCTTACAGAAAGGACCGACTGTGGGCTATGTCATCAGAAGGGCATCTGTCACAGCAGACCTTTAAGCAGAGAGCAAGCACTTTTATCATATGCTATACATCATCAAAGTATATCTACCTGACTTCTAGTGTGGTACATTTCTGGTTACTGCTCTCCTAAAAACTGCAAGAGAATTCCCAAGGTATTCCTTGGTTCACAGCGAAGGCAGACAATGACCTAAAAGAGCTGGGCTCAAAGTGGAAAAGAGCTGGATTTGTCCCAGCTGTGTCGCTATGCAAAATTACACAAAGCAAGGGGTCAGGAAAGTTTGTCTTAAGCGACATACAAATGCTGTGATGCACAGTGTCTCAGCTATTTCACGCAACCTATTACCAACTTAAGAAAAATCCTTATTTCTAAATTTCCATTAAAAAACAAACAAGAATTCTTGTAACCATACAAAAGCTTATTTCATTCGTAGAACACAGGACAGTTCAAGGGTCACATTTCATCTGTACTAAGTGGTAAGGGGGTGAAACAGTGAAATCAAAGGTCCAATCACCTGAACAGAGCTCCCTGAAATTACGATAGCTTTTCCATGGGGGGAATTATTTCATCCATTCATCCAAAAATATTTTTGGGGCACTTGTATGTCAAGCAGTTCTAGTTTCTAAGAATACAGCCGAAAACCAAAGAGACAAAAATATCCATTCTTAGGAAGTTCAAATCCTAATGGTGGGTGCAATGGTGAACAAGTGACTATATTATAGAAATGTTACTGTCTTGCGGAGAAAACTGAAGGAGGAGGATAGGGAGCCAGGAGGTGGGGATCTAATAATTGGGGGTTCAGGGATGACTTCTGTGAGGAACCAGCATTGAAAGATTGAGGAACTTAGCCATCATGAATAGAAGGGAGGGAGGGGAGGGGAGTGGGAAGGAGGAAGGGAAGGAAAGGAGGAAGGAAGGAAGAAGGAAGGAAGGAAGGGAGGAAGAGAAGGAGGGAAGAAGGAAGGAAGGAGGGAGGAAGGGAGGGAGGAAGGAGAAAGGGAGGGAGGGAGGAAGAGAAGAGGAAGGGAAAGGGAAGGGGGCCGGGCGCGGTGGCTCACGCCTGTAATCCTAGCTCTCTGGGAGGCCGAGGCGGGCGGATTGCTCAAGGTCAGGAGTTCAAAACCAGCCTGAGCAAGAGTGAGACCCCGTCTCTACTATAAATAGAAAGAAATTAATTGGCCAACTGATATATATATATAAAAAAAAAAATTAGCCGGGCATGGTGGTGCATGCCTGTAGTGCCAGCTACTCGGGAGGCTGAGGCAGGAGGATCGCTTGAGCCCAGGAGTTGGAGGTTGCTGTGAGCGAG